ACCTGCAAACATGCTGTAGCTTAAACACAAAGAGAATGAGAACCATAGAGAGCTGCAGCGCCTCTCACACTTCAAACATCGGCCGACACATGATTAAACACCTCGCTCTCTTTGTATTCCACACTCACACACACAAAAAAAGAAAAGGAAGAAACTCCAGGGTGCTCATCAGTCAACTTCAAGCAGTCTTTACACACACTAGTACACGTGGATGCAGATCGTACAGGCATTCAGCTGCTTTAGAGCATTAAGCACACAAACCCACACACCAGGACTCAGAGGCTTTCATCGGTCAACCCTCCCCATGATCCAAAAGACCCTCTGCTGCCCGTTCACCCTCTAATGTGCCAGATGTGATCTGGAATCCACTTTCTCTCATTATCCTGAGTTCTCACAACACAGTGGCGTCCGCGTGGCCGCTGGATGAAGCACACGCTCCAATTAGGTGCCAAACTCTGGGTTGTTTCCAAGCAACCTACATTAAGCTGCGAGTGCTGCGAGCGAAACAGGGCTTCAAAGCTTTGAAGGATATTTTTCACTCTTTGAATGGGAGTGTTTGAGCGAGTTTTGTGCACGCGTGAATGGTAGAAAGGGAAAGAAAGAAAGCTACAGATATTTAAAACATCCTATTGATCTCCTGCAAAAAGATCATCAGCACCGACAGAGTGAATCCAGCAGATTGGAGGATGGTGGCGTCATTGATGCACCACACAATCTTTTCCTTTTGGTGCCTGTTGAGGCTGAACCTGAAGTGACCTCGGAGGAGAAAGGACAAGGGATCACAACACATCACATTACATCACACCACACTGCAGTTACTGATTCTGTCTCACATGGTGAGCTCTCATTATGTCTTCTGTGAAAGTACGTCCTGCTCCCGAAGCCGCTCTGGCCTGACACGCACTTCTGCTGCAACCTCTGCGTTGCGTGTTATGTATAAATGGAGAATGAGGTGAGGGTCACTGCCGCCACGTTGACCAGGGCAGATTTATTCTGTGCAAAACACGATAACATCAACACAGCAACTGGTTTGTAACAACAACAACAAGGATACAAAATCAAAATATGAACATAAACTGCTTTTTTTAATGTGATATATATAACGTGAATACATGTATTACACCCATACACAGTATATAAAGATGGACTCCATGTACTCCTACCAGGGGGTGGAGCCATAAGCTCCCACCAACCAATCGTGAGTCCGTCACAGCTGTCAATTGTGATGTTTCAGCTCCTTCAACTGCCACCAACACTGGCCCTATTTATTCACAGACGACACCACACACCATCCTGCTGACTCACACGTTCACTAATGCATATTTATCCACAGCTGAAAATAGTTCCAGACAAATGCTTTTTTTTTTGGGTCATGTCTGATGAGATCTGCAGACTCAAGCTGCTGTAAGAAACCATTTAGCCTTTATTAAAAATTGAACTATATAACTGTGAGCTACTTTAAACTTTGATGTCTGAAGTTGGAGCCAAAAAGTTTGGGGATGATCACCACAGACAGAACAGAGAAAATATAGAAACTGTCATCATATTATATGTCGTGTTTCCTGTCTGGGCGCAGCTCAGTTTAAAATTGTGTTGTATCCTCATTTATTATAGCTTCATTCCAACAATACTGACCTTAGTGACCTCTGACTTTTCCCACATTTCCACCAACATGACATTTTCCTACAACTGGGGATTGATATGATTCTATTTCCATCTGCAGCGCTACAAAGATCATCAGTATTTATAATGTGTAGTTCACAGTTGTGTTAAAACTCTGTTCATCCAAACACATTCTCAGCTGCATTGAAAATATATGGCAACATCAGACCATGGGTTTAATGAATCATTAAACAGTAGCTCCAGATACATGCAGAGATCATTTCAGTTTACTACTTCAATAACATTATTCTGAAAATACTCAAAACTTTATGTTTTACTCAGTTTACTTTAACATGACAAATAATAATTTGTCTGCATAATCTAACAAATCATCTGCTTACCCACTCGTTCTTGGTGTGTGTGTGTGTGTGTGTGTGTGTGTGTGTGTGTGTGTGTGTGTGTGTGTGTTCATGCACTTACATTGTGATGTCATTTGTGACATTTAACAGTTGTTTACATGTAATGAAACACAACATTTCCATACCACGGCATATTTCTGCAGGTTTAGCGATCATCAGCCTACAGTATTCTACTGGGACCTGCTGCAACATCTATAATATATTCTGTCTCAGAGCTCAGAGCAAATTTAGCTAATTAACAGAAACATACCGCATACTTGACTAATTAACAGTATGCATGAGAATGATTTTTAGCCCTCGGAGGAGAGAAAACACTGAGAGTCAGAGAGAGGGATTTAGTCATAGCAGGAAATATAATGGATGGTTTTTGGTAAAAAAAAAAAAGAAAAAAAGGGAGAGGGAGGAGGAGCAGGTTCAAAGAATGAGAGACTTTGTTAAAGAGATGAATATTTGATTTAATCTGGACTGCTTCAGAATATCAATTCATTTCTCTGCACATTTCTCTCTGTGCACCTCTCTGTGCCGCCAGTATCAAACTCTTCATAACAAAAGATGCAGCTGACTCTTTTTGGCATCTCTTTCATTTTCAGTGAGTTAATAGAAATATAAAAAAACCCTTGAATTCCCAAATGGAACAAAAAGCACATGAAGTCACATCCTCTGGAAACCAGGGGACGACATTATTAGGCCTCCAGAATAAGACACAGGGGAGGGAACACAACACAAGACGGGAAAGAGGACAGAGATGGAGAAAATAATAAAAGAGCTCTGCACACGGGTGAAGGAATAATTCAAGGTGAGACGGCCGACACTATCAAAGAAGTGAATATAAAAGCTGCAGTGAGCAACTGGTTGGCTCAGCGTGAAGACAAGAAACAGGGTGGAACACCTGTCCATGTCTGAAGAAAACAAAATCACGTTAAGGCATTTTCAAAACTCGCCAATGATTAAATCACAATCCCCCTGAAAAACTTTGGTTCAATTAAACAAACAACATATTACTCATTCATAAGTAAGCTTACATTTTCTTGTAGCAGGTTTTGTTAATTTCAAGCTGTTTTTATGCTAAGCTAAGCTAACTAGCAGATGGTTGCCTCATGTGTGGTGTCAATCTTCTGGCCTAATTCTCAGCATGAAAACCAGTGAGTGCATTTCCCCAAATGCCAAACCTTTCGCTGTTCATTTTCAAATAATCCATGAGGTTGAAACCATTTATTTATTTAGCTACTGTTTTTATTGGGGAAAGGAAAATTAAAGAGAACTTACAGTTACAATTTAGATTATTAAGATTATTAAGATTATTATTATTATTATTATTATTATTATTATTATTAGCAGCTATAATGAAAATAACTTCTTGTTCAGAATAATCTCAACAGTCAGAGTGTTGGTGTCCATGTAAACATAGTCAGTGATATTGTGTCAGCCTCTGTACAGGATCACCACTTTAACCCCACATCACATTGATCCAGACTAAAAGATCACTTGGCAGTAAAATGCATCCTGATTCCCTTCTTTTGAACTGTGGGTCACACAGACCCGGGTCACTGCGACACGCCGGCCCTCTGTCCTCTGTTTGTATTGATTAATAACAAACAAACTTACAAACGCAATCCTCCCTGACTGCAGCAGGGTGACACAAAAGAAAAGTAGAAATGACACCAAACTCTGAATGTGTCTCGTGAAGAGAGGAAGAGGAGCGGAGCTGAGCGAAAGGGAGAAGAAAGTCAGGTCTTGAAGGGAAAGAGATGTAAGTAACTCCTCCGACCTGCGGCTCCACACAGAGAATAAAGGAGCAGCGGGTTGTTCAATAATGTATTGATTTTCTCAGTGAGCTTTTTCTTTCTTTGGGAATTTGATGTAAATTATGTAAATGATTATCTGACGGTTTGTTGCTGCGGTAACGCACCGCTGTGAATACATGTGTTGAGGCCTGTCTGTGACAGCTTAAAGGGAGAGTTCACCCAAAAATGAAAATTCACTCATCCTCTATACTCACCGCTATGCCGACGGAGGGGTGGGGGAAGAGTTTGAGTCAACAAAACACTTTTGGATTTTCAGGGGTAAACAGTGTTGCAGCCAAATCCAATGCAATTGAAATAATTGGTGACGGATTCCTCAAACATATAAAAAACAGAAAACAGAAAAAAATGTGCGTCCATTCTGCTCCTGTGGTGACGTCAAGCCCCGATATTCAAATTCCACTGGAAACAGCATCATTTACTTCATGTTTTTAGTCTCAGTGTTCTCTCTGATCCTCCTCTGGAGCCGCATTCACCATCGCCCTTTAAATCAATGTGTGTTTTTAACAATAGACTCATAGACATTTTTGATATAGTGATAAAACACGTGCAGGAAAACTGCAGTTTGGTAATTTACAATGTACGCACTCGTGTTCCTAAATATCCCGTCAAGTCCCAGTCATGCTGAAACAGAGGAGACCAAAGCAGGTGTTAAACTACATCCCAGTGAACTAATGTGCCTCCACTTCAACAATGTTTGTGCACCAACAGCAGCTGGTGGTGGTTAGAGGAACTAAATGGCTTTTTCCAAATGCGTCAAAAATGATTATACTCGATGATTTCATCAAGCAGATGACCTCGCTGCATATTGATGCATTTGTGTTCTATTAATCTGTTTTTATTATGACTTATCAGCACGGCTAGCAAAAGGCGAGGGCATGAGTACTTTGTTTTTGAATGAAGATTTTTTTGTTGCATCGTTGCTTCTCTCCTAACCTATAAATAATTTTGCTGTGACTGTGACCAGTGCACAGCAGCTTTATCTGTTTAAAATACTCGAAGTGCATCGCAGGCCTCTTTTGAAAGTGAAATATTGCTAATTGGTGTTTACTTTAATGCCTTTGTGATTAGGTGGAAGGCAACTAGTAATGATCAGGTGGGAAGTGTTGGCTGGGCTCCATGGTCTGTTTGGATTTTAAATGGTCGTCTCTGTCGTGCTTCTCTTTCCTGCAGCACGATGAGACAGAACCTGGGCCGACCCACTCGCTCCATCTATCTCGTCCTGGCGTGTTTGTCCCTCACTCTCCATCTCCTTGTGGCATTTTTCTGTCTCTCTGTCCTCCAGACAGCCTGCGTCCTTCCCAGCTCTTCTTCATCCTCTTCTTCATCTAATCCAAGAACTAATACCCAGCAGCATCAGTCTCTCTCCCATGACTTGTCCTCACATAAACTGCCAACGAGCTCTCAGAATGATGAGGGGCACAAACTGAATCACGCTTTAGACCAGAAAGGGACAGACTCAGTCACTGAGAGGGATAAGAAACAGATTGGAGCTGGGAAAGTAATTCCAAAGGTGGAGGGTCATTCTGCACTGGAGGCCCTGTTCAATCACCCGCTGTACAACCTGCCACAACCAGAGCTGCACCAAGACGACTGGCTACTGAGGGTGAAGACAACAGAAGATGCAGGGGACATAGGAAGTGAGGAAGACGAACAGGAAAATGACATTAACAGTGACAGTCAATGGTGAGTGAAAATGATTGGAATATGATTGGAATTTATTATTATTGTGTAAATCACATTTTTGGAGTCTGAATGAATAGTTTGTCACGAGGAGTCTGAAACGCTTCATTTAGTTTTTTCCACCGAATGAACTTGTAGGCAAATCTGAACATGAAGGTTTTGGCTTCACTTTCTAAAGTAATTATGTAAAGTCCAAACCTTAATGTTCAGATTTTGGCTAGAAGTTCCTTGACAGCAATGTCAGTCTATTGGAATCGTCATAACACGCGCTAACAAGAATTGTCAAAGCTCTGACTTTTCATTTAGCAGCATCAGATCAAAACTTTATTTTTTGTACTTTGGTTCACACCTGAGATCCTGCTATGATATTTCTGAGAGATAATAATATACAAATCAAAGATATCTAAGAGATAAGTTCAAGTTTGAGCTTCATTTCATGATTGTCTAATTTCTGAAATGAAATATTTACACTTATTGTGAAAATTTGAATAACGTCATTTCACTTATTTGTGTAAAAAAAACACCAGAAACTCAGTTTCTTTCTTTCAGGCTCCAAATCCGTTTATTTTACTCAGTGGCCTTTGTGTTGTAAAAACTTTATTGACACCAAAGGCCAAATTGATTTGGAACATTAATACCAATTTCCTTGTTAAACGTTTAACTACCGATCCTGCCTGTTTATACCACTTCCTCTCCTGAAGGCAGAGTGCCAGTCAGGAGGAAGGCTACGACAGAGTCACTTGGACGAGCGACGCAGAGACTCACCCTCCCTGGCTACGGTTTCATCTGGGAATTTCTCGCTGGGAGCTGTACAACAGGAAGGATCCCAACCTGGCTCATCTGACTCACTATTTGGCAATGCAACGTATCCTTGGCGCTGGTGAGCGAATTAGGGGAGGCGGGGGAAACGGGTGAGAGGACAGAGAGAAGAAAGCACATGGCCTGGGAAAGGTACACGAAGAGATGTTAGAGAGAGGAAGGAAAATTACCTCTTGTGTCATTACTTTTTATCTTTTTGTTCCTACAATACGACTTGAATTTCCAGCCAAGCAGAATTACCTCTCAGTGGCACACTGGTGGGTAATGAAACAGACAATATACTGCAGACATCATTCTTTATTCATTCTCACAGTGGGAAAGTGGCCTCACTGTGCATGTTCTGCTAAAACCTGAATAACCAAAACAGCCCAAGCAAGAAACTGGTTTACATATGAAACATCTGAATCTGTATTCTGCACCATATTAGTCTTTCCCTAGAATAATGCATTCCAGACAGCAGCATTCCTCAATGCTACAAGAGCAAATCTGGAAAGTGACAACTGCTCTGACTGTAACTAATCTGCTTCTATATGGTCTCTCATTTTAATTCTGATCTTTTCATACACACAACACATGCTGGGCTGAGAGAAAGCCAGAGGCAAAGAGTATTTGAAGTTCTCCCTTGGCGAACACAGTAAACTGTGAGATCAGGTTCATATTTAGAACAGGTAAGATCACGTGTTTGAGAAACACATCCACGGCTCCTGTGAAGCGATAGATCCATACGGGAAGGCGCTGATGTAGTTACGCAGAATGAAAGAACAAACCCAGAAGGATTCACCGCGATGTTCAATGACCCACAATCCCCCTTGGGTCGCAGAGTGAGAGCTTGAAAAGGTAGAAAAGCAAACAGGGCAAACAGTGGGAGGCATGTGGACCATGAATCAATTTTTCATGAGTGAGTGCAATTTATATCACAGCACATCTACTGCATGGATATAATAACAGAGTATGTTGCAGTCCAGTAGGAAGCATTGCCATCACACACTCAGGCACAGGCACCTCTGCTTGCACAGTAGAAATTACACAAATACAAAGTCAATTATAATTCTGTAACAGCAGGCAAATGTGTAGCTCAAATGATGTTTTCATAGTAGGGTCATAAATATAATCCACCCACAGACTTGTATTATCTCAACACCTACTAACGCACTTACACGAGTACACACACAAACACACAGCCACACATCTTTCTTATATAGACACATGCACGCATTCATTTTGTGTTTGCTCGTCTCAGACTCCCTGGCTCCGTCTTCAGCTGCAGAATGAATATTGTTTTGGGATTTGTGTTATACGTTGCAAATCAAGCTCTAACCTCAGCTACAGGCGGGTTTTTGTTAGTGTCATCTCTTTTTTCACTTTTAACCCTCAACACCAGCACATGTATATTTACATGTGTGACTTGGTCAGTTAGAAACAGGGGTTACAGCTGAAATAAATATGTGAGGAATTATATCTCAGGATTTATGTGTTTTGATTGATTATTTCCATCGTTTGCTTGTTTATGCTTGGCATGCTAAGGAGCTTCTTTGTCTGGACGTTTTGAAATTCAACTTGCTCACTTGAAATAAGAAGAAATAATTAAAAATATTGGAAAATAATGTTTTATAAACGCTCTGTCTTTATCAGCTCTCTGAATGTCTTTCAGTTCAGAAGACAGGAGGCACCCAGCTCAAACTGCTCATATCGTTCCCAAACTACGGACAAGCTCTGCTCAAACCAATGAAGTAAGACTGACTTGACAATCAGGCTAAAGCACAGTTTATTTGACAGTGTTTGTATTTACATGACAACCCAGTGCAGCAAACTTCCACAACGTCAGCAAATCGCCTCAAGCGTTTCTGTTTCTCAGTGTGTTTCTGTTTTGCACAGACAGTCCAGAGACACAGAGACGGACATAAACCTCTTCTACTTCTCAGATTTTGAAAGACACAACGCAGAGATCGCTGCCTTCCACCTTGACAGGTACAGATGTTTGTTCGCTCTCTCTCTCAGCCGGCGGCAGGTAGACAGACCACTCTGTAACCAGCAGGTCACCACTCCGACACCTGAATCATTAATTCATGAGGCTGCTTGTCTCTGAGATACGAGTAAAGAGTAAAACAAACAAAATTAATGTGGTAGTAAAGTTGTACTTAATCAATAGGAAGTGTAGACACTCAGCCATAAGGTACAGACGACTCCTGCACCTGTTTTATTCCTCATTCACTCTTGCTCACAACATCACACACCGACTGTAACTCACTGCACACCTGCCTGAGTCAGCAACTTCTACAGAAGTTACAGCCGATCCAGACTCGTCCTCACCAAAACAAAAAGAGAGAGAGAACACAACACTCTGACTTTAGCTTCACTCCACCGGCAGACATCATATCTGATCGCCTTCCCACACACCAGGCTGAGGACGGAGGGGGACTGGGCCTCGTCTGTAAGAGGCCCACGCTATGGGACAAACTCCTGAGGAGATCAGACCAGCTTTGTCCTTATTAGCTTTTAGATTGCCCTTTAAACAAATCTGTATAAATGTGCTTTTACTGGACATGTGGTCAACTTACAACTCCCATATTGACAAAGTGGCATTCTCATAACTTTGTTTATTTCAACAATTGTATGTTTAATTTGATTTCTCTCTTTTATTTTTGCTTCTATTGATTAATCACTGTTTGACATTTAAGCTGTTTTTCTGCTTTGTCCCTTTGAATAGTGCAAAATAAATGAACTTTGTTTATCAATATTACTGTTTTTGTTCTTGTTTATCCTCAGTGTGTCTTCCTTGTGTTAAAGTTTGTCTCTGTCTCCGTGTCTCCATCTTGTCCAGGCTGCTGGGCTTCAACAGGATTCCTCCAGTGGTCGGTCGAATCATCAATGTGACCACAGAGATCAGAGAGATTACCACCGACCGCAAGCTGTCCAGGACCTTCTTCGCTTCCCCGGGTGTGTGTCTGTCTGTGTGTGTGTGTGTGTGTGTGTGTGTGTGTGTGTGTGCATGTGTGTGTGTGTGTGTGTGTGTGTGTGTGTGTGTGTCCATGCTTGCACACATTTCTTTTGAACCCTCACAAACCAGTGTAGACATGTAACTGAATGTGTCTCTGTGACTCCCTCTAGTAGGGAACGTGTGTTTCTATGGCCAGTGTGAGTACTACTGTTCAACAGAGCACCCGGTGTGCGGTCAGCCTCATGCACTGGAGGTGTCCCTGGCTGCGATGCTGCCTGACCTCACCCTCGCTCCCCGCAGGTCCTGGAGGTCACCATGGAGACGATCGTACAGCCGCACCAAGCTGGCACAGTGGGTTCCACGTCTGTCTCAATGAATGGAAGAAGAAAGTCCATAAAGCTTACTTTACACTTTACTATATATTAAAATATTACTTTAAAGGATAAATACTACTTACTTTTATACACGTGACAGTGGACAGAATATGACAACTCTTTTTTTTTAAATATCATGTATTGTGTCTTACAAGAAGCTGGGGGAGAATCGTATGTTTTTACTGCACTCTAGTGGCCTGAAGGACATCAGTACACTGAATGAGTAGATAGACAGACAGAAGGATGGATAGATGATAGATGGATAGATAGATGGGGTAAATGAATAGATAGATAGATAGATAGATAGATAGATAGATAGATAGATAGATAGATAGATAGATAGATAGATAGATAGATAGATAGATAGATAGATAGATA